CCTCTCCCCGCCCCTCGCCCATTTAACCCCCCACACACTGTCCAGGCCCCCCCTCACTCGAACCCCCCCAGCCCTGCCCTGCCCGCGGGGGGCAGACGGGGCGGGCCCCAGAACCCGGGGGGGGGGGGCTGCACGAACAATGGGTTCCCATGGCAGCTGCCTGGGGCTGGCCGGAGCCAGGGCAGCCCGGCCCAGGAGAGGGGGCGGCGGGGAGCTGCCCCGGGACACGCCGCCCGGCTCGGCCACAGGTCAGGAGACCCCCCGCGGGCAACCAGCCAGAGGGGCCCCGGGGGCAGAAAGGGGGACCGGGGGAGGGGCATGGAGGAGGGACCCCTGAGAGGATGGTGCAGGAAAAGGGGGGAGGGGCAGGAAGGGGGGACCCCTGAAGGGAGGAAGGGTGCAGGAAGGGGGGAATTCCCAGGGGAGGGGCAGGAAGGGGGGACCCCTGAAGGGAGGAAGGGTGCAGGAAGGGGGGGAATTCCCAGGGGAGGGGCATGGAGAGGGAAGGACTCCCGGGGTGGATGGCAGGCAGAGAGGAGTGGGTGGACACCCCCTCTCAGGAGCCAGCACAGAGGCTCGGGGGAGCCCCCCAAGGCAGTGGGGGAGGGGGGCGGGGAAGTCCCTTCTCTGTGCCTCCCTGCTCTGGGCATAAAGGGTGAAAGCCAAGGAGGCCTGGCACTCCCCAGCCGGCGGGGGGCAAGCCCCAGATCCCCTCACTGCCATTAGCAGGGCACCCCAGCTGCCTCCCTTCCAGCCCCTCGCCTTCCCCTCGGCTGGAGCGTCAGCTGCCCCCCAGAGTGAGGGTGTTGCATCGGGGTCAGACTGGGCCCTGCGCTGTCATGCCCATGAGGAGGAACAATTACTTCTTTCTAGGGAACAACAGAAAACACAAAAGCAGCTACAGTTCAGCACTACCCGACCCTGAGACCGGGCTCTCCCTAGACTGCCCCCTTAGGCCTGCTGGCTGGGATTGTCCAAGGCTCCTCAGGGAATTAGGCACCTCACTCCCAACAATTTACATCAACCTCAGTTACTAACGCTGAACCCGTTGTTAAAATCTAAATTCACTTCTCCCTCATCCTGCTGCCTCATTTGCCTTTCTCTGAACAAACTGCAAGGCATAAGCCAATTTCACTGACAGTTATAGTCAGTTTCACTTTCAGCATCTTCCCTGCTTTCATTTTTTGTAGGCCCTAATTCCTGCAATTGTTGCATGCAGCTAGATCAGGGGTCGGCACCTTTCAGAAGTGCTGTGCCGAGTCTTCATTTAGTCACTCTAATTAAAGGTTTCGCGTGCCAGTCATACATTTTAATGTTTTTAGAAGATCTCTTTCTATAAGTCTATAATATAGAACTAAACTATTGTTGTATGTAAAGTAAATAAGATTTTTTAAACGTTTAAGACGCTTCGTTTAAAATTAAATTAAAATGCAGAGCCCCTCGGACCGGTGGCCAGGACCCGGGCAGTGTAAGTGCCACTGAAAATCAGCTCGCGTGCCACCTTCGGCATGTGTGCCACAGGTTGCCTACCCCTCACTCCTCCATAAAGCCACGCAGGTGTTTTAAAAGCATCTCTGTCCAATGGAATGCAGAAATAATTATAGAAACATTTCTGTTGGATTTAGCTTTGTAAGAGCTCATTTTTACATCATCTAAAGTTTTGGGCCAAATAACCCAATAAACTGCTAGCTCTATGTTACATTTTATACTGTGGTGCCCTGGGGCTGATCTGTGTCAAATTTTTGGCTTTACCTTGTTTTCCTGCATTGTTCTGGTGGAAAGAATAAAGTTTAAAAAATTCAGGACATGTTTGAATTGACAATATCCTTGAAAAAGTATCCCTGGGAATGAAGGGATTATCATTGAAATAAGTACATGGAGTGTTGGTCCCAGGATATCAGAGACACAAGGTAGATGAGGGAATATTTTTTATTGGACCAACTTCTACAGGTGAGAAAGAGAAGCTTTCCATCTACACAAAGCTCTTCTTCAGGTCTGCGAAAGGTACATGCTGAAAGCTCAAAAACTTGTCTCTCACCCGTAGAAGCTGGTTCAATAAAAGCTAGTCACTCACTCACCCTGAGAAATAAGTGACACTGTTGCACTTCTATAATCCAAAGACTGAAAGCACGTCACAAATTTAATTATACCTCATAATCTAATGCCCCATGAAGTTAAGTATTACCAACCACATTATATAAATGGGGATAATGGGGCACAGATTGGTGCTGTTCTACTGACTAGGTAACACGGTCTTGTCAGAAAACACGTGAGGAGGAAGAGTAAAATTTCAGAATTATGCACTGTAAACACTTTATAAAAAACAACTCTCTAAAAAAAAAGCCGCTAATGCCATGGCTGTCAGATAGCTACTTGAGAACTATTCTCCGTGTGTGGCACTAGCTCCCTCTTCGTGGTATTGAAGCGACAACTTGACATTGCACATTTTCTTGGTCTTCCATATCAACTATGTTCAGTTTTCAAGTCTAAATATGAGCTTCAAGCTGACATCCAAAACAAGCTGCATTCTGGTTCAGTCATTATCACGGACAGTAAAGATTCAAGAACCGGAATTTAGCTGACAATTCTGTTTTTGATACCTAAGCCATAGATACTCCAACTAAAAGAGAATACAGGTAGGTCTTCCATGGCTACATTGGCTCAGCGGTGGTATCAAACACGACCCTGGCCTTGGTCATTGTAGGAAACAGATACAACGAAGGAGACAGAGCAGATGTGGAGTTATAAAGGGCCATTTCCCTTGTCTCTTTTCTGACTGATTAACCATTACTTCGTTCACCATTGTTCTTCACGTGTTGTGTGTCATGTTGTTACGGTGAAACGCTTATGGAATTACACGTTTCATCCACATGCAAATGAATATAATTCATTCTGAACCATTATAATGTAAACTAAACAAAAGGTGGGGAGAAGAATTGGTCATTCAAAATGTTTACGTTTAGTAATGGGTTGCACTGTCAAGCAGAAAGGACATGTGATAGTTCCTCTCCTTACAACTCTGGTGAGGTAGCACTGGGACCATCCCATTCAGTTCAGGCCACTGCACTCCCAGAAAGATACTGATAGATTGGAGGTCTTTTAAAGATCAGTAGCCAAGCTGATTTGAAGCCAAGATCCTGCAGCTGCCTAAAGGAAAGCCTAAGACCTGAATGTGTGTATAGCTTGGCTAAGCAAACTAAGGGAGGGATGTAGACATCTGCAGCTATAAGAGATGTGAATGACCAGCAAGAATGGAGAAAGAGAGAACTTAGGGTGGTATAAAGGGGTCTCATTAGAACTAATGAGATAAGGGGAAAATGTGAGTATCAGGATCAGTTATTTACCCCTTCACATAACACAAGAACCACCTATTGACATTAATAGGCAGCAGGTTTAAAACAAACCAAAGGAAGTATTTCTTCACACAACACACAGTCAACCTATAGAACTCTTTGCCAGAGGATGTTGTGAAGGCCAAAGCTATGGTGGGGTTAAAAAAAACCCAAACAATTAGATGAGTTCATGGAAGATAGGTCCATCAATGGCTATTAGCCAAGATGGTCAGGGACGCAACCCCACGCTCTGAGAGAGTCCCTAGACCCTGATTGCTAGAAGCTAGGTATGGACAACAGGGGATGGATCACTCGCTAATTGTCCTGCTCATTCTCTCTGAAGCATCTGGCATTGGCCACTGTCAGAAGACAGGATATTGGGCTAAATGGACCATTGGTCTGACCCCGTATGGCTGTTCTGATCTATTAAACTAAGATATAGTCTCTCAAGGGAAATAGCAGGAGCCCAGTTGATTGGGATATTTAGGACTAGACTAAACAAAGCACTCAAAATCATAATGTTAGAAAGAAATGTTCTTGCATTGGCAGGGAGCCTGATTGAGTCTAACAGTTCTTATCCCATCTCTAATTTCTAAGATAATTTATAATTAATGTTAAAGAAGTATAAGGAAACAGCAGTCACCATCACGGTATGCTCCATGTTGACTGCTTTTCCTTTGGTTCTTAAATTATGTTATTGTTGCTTTCCTGCACAGCAACTATGAGTTTTGGAACCATGGATGTGTATTTGAATGAGATAGAAAACAATCTGCAGAGTATTTTGTACAACGAAGAGGAGGACCAGGAGAATGAAACCTGGAAGATGTACACGGAGAGGAAGAACATTGTGCTCGAGTTCCTGCACTCTGACTTGAGTCTCCACCTGCTGAAACGCCACCATAAGCGAATTGAGCTTCTGAAAAAGTGCTCTTATTACATTGAAATTCTGCCCAAACATTTGGCACTGGGAGACCAGAACCACCTCATGCTGCCCACCACTATGTTCCAGCTGATTGACCTCTGGAGATTCCAGAGGATGAAGAAGGTTGGAACAGTCCAAACCAAAATCCAGCTGTTGCTCTTAACTGACCTGTTAGAACAATTGGAACAGGGGCGGGAGGAGCTGGTCCACTTCCTGGAGACCTATGACATGGTAACATTCCTCGCCAGGTGGGACCTGGTCAAGCAAAAGCTGTCAAATCTGTCTGAGCTGATGGATAATTTCCTTGCCATGCTAGTGCCTGGACGGCTGTATGTCAAGCATCGTCTGGTGTCGGATGTTGGGGCTACCAAAATCCCACACATTAGGCTTGTTCTGAGTACCAAGATGCCAGTGATGTTTGATCGAAAGGAATCGGTGGCACATGAGGACTGGGTGAGCCTCAAGTGGTTTATCACAAGTCAACAGTCACAGCCTGAACAGTATGAACTCAGGTTTAAGCTCCTGGAGCCCCGAACCCAGCAAGAGAGGATCCAGTGTGGAATAATGCCGGTCACGTCCAACATGTGTGAAATCCGGAACCTGCTGTCTGACAGATCATACAGATTCACAGTTAAAAGGGCAGAGGTTTACACACTCGTCTATGAACAGTGGCGTGATACCATCACATTGAAGACAAAACCTTACCCTGAGGAAGACATGGAGAGCACCACGTGCGAACCCTGACGGATGAAGCAGCAGACAAGAATTTTCTAATTTTATCAATTCAAAGAAGTTGAATAAGTAAAATTTAAAATGTATTTTTAAAGGTTTTTGCATAAAAATTGAGCTTGTTCTGTCTTAAATTGTAATTTTACAAAGTGCCTCATATACATCTTTATGGGCTGAAAACAACACAGTTTAACAGTCACCACCACCCCTTGTGCCTCCACCCACCCTTCGTGCCATCCGTTGCCAATGAAGGCCAGCTACCCCTTGTAGTGAGTAGGCTAAGCAGACTATAGCAGTGGGTAAAAGATGACCACATTGTGTCTGACACAAAACAATTTAGGGAAAGTTTATCCACTGTCCGGTGCCTTCCTACAAATCAACAGCTGACCCAGTGCCTTCTTCCCACACAATGTCCTCACTTTTCATTGCTCTTCCCCCTCCCCCCGACTCCTTGTGTCCTTTCCTCATTGCCCCTTGTCACAGCAACAGTGCTCTTTTTACACGCACATACTCACTTGAATCCCAATCCCCATGATCGCTCACCACTGCCCAGTCTCCATCCCCAGGTTCCTTCCACCAGCTTCTGCCATGTAGTTGCCCTCTCATTTCCCGTCCCATGGTAATGCTCTATAGTGCATGAAAAGATCCTTTTTTGACTTAAAACAGGAGAGGGCAAAATCTCCAGGGATCAACCTCTGTAAAACAGTTTCTTCTGTTTGGGGTTAATGCTAACTTCCTCTTTTCCCATCTGTTTTCTGTCCAGATTCAGTTCGGTAGAATCCTTTCAATTAAATATAGCACAGATTCGACTCACGCATGGACACACACACACTTCATTCCCATAAATAAACATTTTTCATTTAATAAATTCAATCATCTTTACAATTATGGCTTAAATATGAAACAAGAATGTTGAGGTTCTTATTTAAAAACATTAGCCGCAGATAAAAATATTTGTATCCAAAATGTTGCTCCAAATCTGTTACAAGTCACATGGTACAGACACACACAAGATAAAAAAACCTGCCCCATTTAAGGTTCCTTAATTTGCATTTCACAACATGTAACATTTTATTTCCATTTAAAAACTGATTTATTGCAGTGGATCATATTCTACACAGGAACAGCGCCACGGGCCCACGTCTATTCCTACGGAGGATTTTTCTATTGGTTTTACTGCGAGCAGGAGCAGACCCACGGGCGAGTGCTAAAATCACAACGATCAGGCAGACTGAAGCCCGAGACACTGTTTACTCTACATGCAGATCACCTTTCGTGAACTCACATAGGGTCAAAGTCTAGGCAGTGGTGGGGAAAGCGATGCTACTCTCCAGTATGAATGGACATGTCCCACAAAGGCAATTTTCACACGTGCTTGTCTTCTGGCTGAGAACCCAAAGCCAGCCCCTCACCCCAATCCTGCAGAAAGAACAAGCTGTATGGAGTGGGGGTGATGAGGGTGCTGTGCTTAGATTGTACTCCAACCTCTTAGCTGCAGCCCATACCCACCCCGCCAGGACTGCTGTCAGACGCACGGCATAATGGGCTGTGCATGACTTTCCAGGGGTTTCAGGACTGGGATGGACAACTTTCCGCCCAAACTGCAGCCATTGTGCTGTTCTTTGGGCATGCACCTATGGTCAGCACCAGCTGGAGTTCAACTCCTGATGTTTATGATGACAGGATATTTCCCACTCACAGCATCTCCCTAGGAAACCATTCTGATCTCCTATTTTACCATTCACAAGCCTTGTTTTTAATCAAACTCTAAGATGTGGCGCTTGTGATGTGGCCGACAAACTGCACACCATCGTTCCAGACACATGCCATTGGAATTATAGTGGGGGCTTTCCCCCCCCTAATAAAAAAGGTTTGTCTTTATGTCAATAGTTTTATGTAAAAATCCTTCCATCATAAATAACTGATTCAAATCTCTCTATGCATCAGAAGCTGGACTACATTCAATGAGTCTTTTCCATATGAACTTCTCTGATTCTGTATATCCAGAAGCACAATATCCCTAACGCAGTATTCAGTTATCAGGAATAGTCTCTACAAAACGTTACACTCATTGCCCTTCCTACTAACCCCTGGCTACTGAGGCTACATGATCAATTATGCAACTACCTATTTACAACATCAATGCAACCCAGCAGTCTGAGCTGCGATCTCACTGGAGCTGGTAGGCCACAGGGCAGCATTTTCGAACACAAGTTATGAGACCGATCTCTTTCAGAGTAAGTTTCCGGAGAGGATGCTGATCTGTTGCCTTGTAAGATAACAGTGACTGAACAAAGTACTTCACTCTAGACTTTACCTCACAAGATGTAGTAGTTTGGTGGGGCGGGGGGTATTTTGTTTTTTTAAATACAAACAAGTGGAAAATGGTACATGCCAAGGTAACACGGCTAAATAATGCTCAGCAGTATCAAACTAAGCCCCTACAGTGCATCTGATTCTCCTCCCATTTATATCTGTTGTACACTTGTGTAACCTGCATTCTTTCCACGGAGAAACTCTGGATGTATACTAGAGGGAGGAGAATAAGGCCCACTGGGCTTAAAGGGACCACGATGAGTGTGTTAGCAATACAATGTTCTCTCTGCTGGGATATGTGCACCATACTGAAGTGTTTAACTTAAGGATTCCCATACAGGCTTTCACCATTTGTTTCACGAGTCCACAAAGCGATCTCTGTCCAGAGTTTATTCTGGAGTCGTAAAAACAATTGGTTTGCAAAAACAAGGCCCATCTGGAATCCTTGAGATAAGAGGCTTCAATGTGGGACAACTGTCAGGCCTAAGAACTCACCCGTTCTCTGCCTGTGGCACATAATAGTTTAGTCTCTTGAGGGCTGAAAAACTTTGGTGGCTGGGCTTAGTGTGCAGTGGCCTGTGATGCACAAGAGGTCAGTCTGGATGAGCTGGTGATCCCTTCTGGCCTCAGATTCTATGACCAGCCTTTATCCAGTGCCCCTTAGAAATAATGAGGAAGCCGTCTACATTCTTTCCTCAGACATGGGACTTGGACCCATATGTTGCAGTACTAGCAGATGTGTGTGTTTTCACCAGAAACCAGGTCTATTACATGGAGGGCAAGCAAGCAGTTTCAAAACAAGAAGTCGAGGAATGAGAACCTTCTGCACAGGTTGGGTCCTTTCCATGGCTGCACATGACTCAAACCGAACAGGAAGGCCCACGGAAATGGAGTAGGACATTACATGCTGGGTGTTCAGGTTTTCTTATTGCACATTCCTTCACATCAGGAAAGGAGCCCTGCAAACACAGCATTCATTCATCCCGGCTATAACTCTTGTTGAAGTCACAAAGGTCAGTAGTTACACCAGGGACGGCACTTGGCCCACCTTGTTTTCATTGGATTTAAAAAAAAAAAATAGTTGTAATGGCAGCTTGGATCAGTCTTACACGGACATCTACAGGTGTCCATGTGTTTGGTCTCAGGGAGCGCTGAGGCAGGCACACGTATAGTCAGAACTGGAATAATGAGATAAAGGTGCTGTCCCCCAGAAATACCAGGCCTACGTAAGCCGCTCCAGCTTAACAAGGCTCAGCGCCGAGCACCGTTTCGCCACTACACAGGCATGATCAGAACTGAATTATTGGGAAAAATAATTCCTATTCCTGTTAGTGTCCTGTTCTCTAGTGATTTACACCTCCCAGTTCACAGCAATTTGGCTATTTTAAAAATATATACACATACATATCACATGGCCAAAAGTATGGGCCTTTGATTGCAAAGCAAAGTTCACTGAGTTAAAAGTCAATAAGTTAGAAGCAGCTTTTAAAAAAAAGAGGAAACATTCTTTACACGAGGAAACATTTTCAAGTAAAACTAGGTGGGCAGCTTAAAAATATCTTTGCAATGTCAAAATCTGCTGGTAGAGCTTGTCCCCCACAGTCTTCATTCGCTTTATACTGGTCACCACAACCTTGGCTAAGTGAGATTTACCAGTTCTTAAAGGCCAAGAATATTCTTTTTTTGGTTTTCTCCCAGTTTCTTCTTCCTTCATTTAAAATAAAACAGATTGTTTTTTCTGCTTTGAGAAATGAGATCGCCTTAGTTGGTTCCTGGCCTTGGTTTCAGAATTAGTGGTAGCACTCGGCAGCCTTGATCCTACAGCTCAGCTGTAGGTCCATCACACACCATCCTTCACCTCCTGATGAAGTGGAAATATCCACTTGGTCCCCAAAGAATAGCTGCTGTCACAAAAAGGCAGGATGGGAATTCCACTGAGGATCTCTTGGCTTCCACAAAATAGCACAATCTCCCCCTGCACCCTCAACTTCCAAAGCTTTTTGGTTTGCAGATGCTGAAAGTCTTGATCCAAGGTTGCCTTTTCATTAAAAAAAGCTTAAGGTAAGTGGTCAACATGCAAGGAAAGTGCAGCTTGCCAATCCCTGGTGCCTTTTGGTCACTGGTTAATGTCGGACGGGTAGAAAAGAGGCCTGAACACAGCATTGTTCCCCAATGTACCCATCAAACATTTCAGGCAGGGACTGGTTTATCCAGTTGTGATCCATTCACATCAGTGAAGGGCTGACTTCTTTCTGACCCGAATGTCGTGAGCCAAAGTGCTGCAACCCATCCGTTTGTAATGCTCCAGCAGTCTTCTCCACAAAGGGTTGGATTCTAGGAGATAACGGTTTCCTGTTGGTAGAAGGGAAAAACAACAGTGAGCAGAAAAGGCTAATCTGTTTCCACAGAACACTTGGCGGACCTGTCTGTAACCTCTGGGCCTAGAGAAAAAAGCCAAACTGTGCTGGATAACCCGGGGGACATTTCTTTCAGCCCCAAAGTCCCCAGCCAGGGCCCAACCATTGCCACATCACTGTAAACATATCCTGTCCACGTGACCAACAGAGAAATACCAACAGGTCAAGTTCTGCTGGACTAGAGATCCTGCATGCAAAGAAAGAATATGATTAAAAAAACCAGAGAAATAAGGCAATACTCTGAATGTATGTTAACAACATGCGAGAGACGCATATGATCACTGCTCTCCACTCTGAAGGGTAGTTCCAATACATGGGTTGGTTCCCAGCCACTCGAACTTCAAAATCATTGACATTGTAAAGGATAGAAAAACGAAGACAGACAGTCTTCTTTTGCCTTTAAGTTCGGATCCCCACTTCCTTTTACAGCGTTTCTTCTCCCACCCTAGCTTCATGCACCTTCCCAGGAGACTCACCTATAATGCAGAGCCCCTCTTGAGCCCGAGTGATGGCTACATTGACCTGGTTTGGGTCAATAACAAATCCCAGGTACTTCTTCTGCCAGCTTTTGGTGGGTTTCCTATCAATATCCGATCGAGAGCAGGAGCGTACAGTGGTCAGGATCACGTACTTCCATTCACTCCCTAGAGAGAAGGAATTGCACCAGTTTTATTGATGGCGAAGTTCAAGGCATTCAGCCAGAAAGTGTCCAGTTACGCTTCCCTACTGGAATAACATCCATTCCGCTAGAGCAAGAGTCTAGACTATCGCAGTTTACAGCTGGCTCCAAATGCTGTAGGAACACATTACTGTATCCCATCGTCATTTTTACGAGAGCAGCTGCCTTACTGCAGACCCTGGCTCTATGAAGAATGCTCACTTTAGCAACCCCGACCTCCCCTCCAAGCTTCATTAATTTAACTTCTTCACTTATGTTCAACAATTGCGCTCCATCCACGTGGCTGGTTTTCTGAGACACAAAGATTTGGAGGATTTCTTTAAATAGGTATTTCAAGGGCTCCCCTCGCTGCTGATGGCGACCAAGAATCGCCCAGAAAGCCAGCTCCGTGGGGTCTCTCCCGGCGGCTGAAGCAAGCCGTGACCCATGAGATTTGGTGATTCTGTGTGACAAGGCGCTGTACCCCACAGGAGGGTGGAGAAGGGTAATGACCTTACTTCACACCAGCTGAAATAGAGAACTCTGCCGTTCCCTATGAACCTTACCTTGACTTTTCATGATGGTGCAAACCGTCATCCCACGGACACCCTCCTGGGTGAGACGTTTGTTGATCTCCGACACCTGGGCGTTGTACGGGCTCAGGATGGCAACACTCACTGGCTTGATGGTGCCATCCAGGGTCAGCTGCTTTGCTATCCTCACCTGAGGGGGGGGGGACACAACGTGAGCTCTTGCTTGTTTAGGTTGGGGGAAAACAGCCTTTTCCTTCATTCCACACATCGGTGGAATCACTGTGGAGGGACAGAGAACAGGTCCCTCCGGCTTCAGATTGGGAAGAAAGGAGGAAGAGAAGACACGAGGTTCCCTCCAGCTTTATGCCATCCCGTTGATACCCCACTCAGTGAAGCACTCTGGCTTCTTGTCCACATGGCCCCTTTCACCAACATTGTTCTGGTATGTGGTTGCACCGCTCATCCCAGCCTCTCCCCAATCTCTGTCCACAAGGCGCAGAGACCAAGGGGGTGGAGGAAGAGACTGGTGTCGAGCTAATCTTGGGCAGCAAAGCCAGAGATTTGAACGTTAAAGCAAGGAAACTCAGCCTGGTTTTCCCAGCCCTACCCATGGGTCTCCGAGGGCTCAGCGAGGCATAGCACAACTCCTTGCTGACATCACTGTGTCAACCCGGACCCAAGACAATTAAAAAGAAAAAAAAATAGATGCAGAACGATCACATCTTGGTTTTGTGCTGGTAGCCACATTAACTAAGGGTGAGCGAGGGCTTCACACTGACACACTACAGAGAGCCCTTGCTGGCTGCAACATCAACAGGACCATACATCTTTGAACTAGGGCTGGAGATTTCAGCAAGCCCTGACCAACGCTGCCCCGTCCAAGGCAGACCAGAGCTGTGCTGGCTACAGCAGCGTTTAAAGGCAGCAGTTGTTAACACCACTAATGCTTTCCCCATGACCAGCGTGTGCACTGGCTCGTGCTCACCAAATAGTGCTGTACGCCGGGCTTTCCCGAACAACGTGGCCCAGCCCCACTGGCCAGACCAAGCCTGGGCCTGGGCCTCTCACTGGACGTGTGAAAATAAGTGAATGCCAGGGGCTGCCTGGGACAGTCCATGAGATTCCCCACGAGCTCCTGTCAGCTCCAGTACCTCCACCAGGGCCCCATGGACACCAACTGGTCACTGAGGGCAGGGAAGACTCATCTACTCTCAGTGCTCCCTCTGCTGCTGCCAGCCATCAGGGAGGAGAGCATGGCTAAGAGGTAGTGGTAGTCTGGCCATATCAGGGACTTGATAGACAGAGGGAATAGGGGAGCAGCCTGAGGGACGGGGAGACAGGACCAGCCCTATCCTTCCCCCCAGCTGAGTCCTAACCCTCACTCTCCCATTACCACTCGAGTCCGTCCTTCCCTAGCAGGATACGCTCCATGCACAGAAACCTGCTTGTGCAGCTCACCGGAACGCCCTGTGGTATTTCACGAATGGCTGATTGATGCCAAGACTGTCTCTAGCACACAGGAAGGTGGGGCCAGAGCTTGTTCGCGGTGCGGAAAACAGGGGTGGCTGGCAAGAAGCATGAAACTCCCTGGCAGACTGAATGTGGGTCCAAGACAAAAAGCAGCTCGTGAAGAGGGCACAGAGAGGGCCGGGCTGTTTCGATGGATGCATTGACCTTATTCATGTTTAGATCTTATGCGTCTCTTAGCAAATCCTTTCAATGATAAAATGGCAGCTGGGTTGCATAGACTGAACACCGTCAATGTTTGCCGCTGATGGGCTGAAGAGCATTTCAGGCTGGATAACTATTAAATGGGACCCACCCAGCAAGCAAACAATACCAGATGCCGAACAATATGTCCGTAAGTCCAAGTGCTGCCTTACTCCACCCTCACCGTCTGCCAGCAAAAAATGTCCTGCTGGCTACTCACCACCTGTTCCACTTCTTCCAGGTTAGCCCTGGAATTCTCGTTCCCCTCCTCGGTGGAGACCATCAGACTCTGCTCCTTCCCCTCTATGTGCCCGAAGATGATTGCACAGCCGCTTTTGTATCTGTGTTCGAGTGCGCTGGTAGGGCGTTTAAGCTCAGGGCAGGTCGTCAGCTTGCTCTTGTAAAATTCCTGGGATGGGAACCTGCAGATGTCCTTTTGCTGACAGATCAAAAGGAGAGAACCTTGGGTGAGTAACAAAAGTGACAGCTCCGGGTCCCACAGTACCTCTTTAAGCAGGCTGTCTACCACCAATTTCTCAAGCCATATCTCTTCATACAACCGGCCACATAGCCATTCTTAATAGCCTCCAAAATGCTGCCCCCTATGGAAAGGGCAAGCAATTCAGTGTCACCTGTATACAGACAGATATGGACAAGAGAGCAGGTGTGTAGATACGCATTCTGCACGTGACAACTGGGTGCCCAGCCCCTTGAGTTGTGTATTCCCATATCAATCAATTGCATGGGCAAAATCAGAGGCCAACCAACATTTTGCCCATCTGCTATTTAGAATATGCCCAATGCTTTACAGAAAAGCTCTTCTGACAGTTAACCCAGAAGGCAGCGCCCGCTCAAGCAGCGCAGTGACTGCCGTTTTGCCTGGGTCAGCGAGATCAACACTTGTGCATTCTATAAGGCAGCAATTCCTCCAGTATTGAACCCTTTGAAGGTGGCTATTGCTAATTAATGAATTCAGAGCCATCTCAGAGCCCGCATTATCCAGGAGGTCGGATTCGATTATCACAATGGTCCTTTCCAGCATTAGGACCTATGAATTATTTGTATTGTGACAGCACCCGAAGGCCTGAGTCAGGATCAGGGCCCAATTGTACTAGGTACATTGAGACAGGGACTGTCTTTCCATAAGAACAACAAGGAGTCTGGTGGCACCTTAAAGACTAACAGATTTATTTGGGCATAAGCTTTCGTGGGTAAAAACCTCACTTCTTCAGATGCAAGAAATTAAAGTCTAATTTATGACAAGACAACCTGTGGGTGTAGGTAACAAATAGGAGTATGGAGGAGGGTATCAGTGATAGGAATGTGTATTTACTGGCTAACAATATGCCAGTCAGATTGACTAAAGGGTTAAACTAAACAGATCAGCAACCCCCTGTGACCCTGTACCTGCCCTTTGTCAGCTGGCGATCTAAGAGGCAAGAAGAACTAGTGAAGAGGTGGCCAACGTACTAGGGAAGCTGAGAAACCCATTTTCAGAAAGCTCTTCTGCAGTGGAGAGTAGCCTGTCCTGACTAAAACAATATCTAGGAAGGCTCCCCTAAAGGTAAATACTCAGGGCAGACTCTGGATTAACAGAGGAGCATCCCGGGCAGAGGAGATGTTACAGCAGAATATCCGCATCCCAACGGGCTGGAGCAAGCCAACAGCATTTCCTATGGTGGGGGGCAGGAGAAAGACCACCACGGGACTCCTACCATGCGGTACTGCGTGTCCAGCATCTGGGCTTGGTCCCGGTAGCGTTCGAAGAGGGACATCTCCATGCCAAGGCTCTTGCAGAAATCGTTGTGGACCACAGGCCGCAACTGTTTATGGTCCCCAAGCAAAACAACCTGGAATACATGGCATGAACACATAGGCTCCGGTTCTCTGCCTCTCCCACCCCACTCCTTCCAGTTAACTTGGAGGAGAAGTGTGTGTGAAGGCACATACATTACTACTATTTATTTCTATTCGGGCAGCACCTACGAACCCCAATCCAGGATCAGGGTCCCACCAAAGAACACAGTCCCTAGTTTACAGTCTAGGTGTCATTTGTTATTGAAGACACTTTACTGAGCAAAAGCCTGCCAGAATCTCCATTATCTTCTCGAACTTCAGGGCCAGGGCCACGTGGGTCAATAGGACAACCACAGCACATCTCATCACATTGAGATTGTCTATCCGGGCCAGCACGTTTTCTGGTTGCAGTGACAAATGCTTCCAGAGAAGGCCAAAATAGCATTCACATCTTCCATCTACTTCTCTCTCCAGCTCCAAATGGGCTTTTAGGAGAGTCAAGCCAAAATATGGATTTAGCATGTTTAAAAGATTGCACTTGTGGGGCTGAGAGGAGATCCTTAGGTCAAGGAATTAGCTAGAGAGCATATGGACCAGTTTTATACTGCAGTTGTCACCATCATAATAGACCCCCATAAAGTGTGGGTGTTTATACACTATATTGACGTGTGCGCGCATGATGTATTTGGGTAGGTGTGTTTATGCAGAGGGGTGTGAATGCAGATGTACAATGTACACCTCTGAGCCTGGGATGCATCACACAGTTTGACTGGAATTGAGCCTCACTTGCAAGTTAAAAGGGTGATTTATAGTGAGGCAGAACACCCAGCATCCCAGGGCTCCTGCTTGGTGCTCCACGCTGCCGAACACGAGGAGGAGACACCACAAGAGTGCATGCATCACCACAGGGGCCATCAGGGACAGCCTTGAAATACGACTGCAAACTTCAATGAGTAGCGAGGTACGGTCTAGAGCAGTGGTTCTCAAACTAGGGCCGCCGCTTGTTCAGGGAAAGCCCCTGGCGGGCTGGGCCGGTTTGTTACCTGCCGCATCCGCAGGTTCGGCCGATCACAGCTCCCAGTGACCGCGGTTTGCCGTTCTCGGCCAATGGGGACTGCAGGAAGCAGCGCGGGCCAAGGGACATGCTGGCCGCCACTTCCTGCAGCCCCCATTGGCCTGGAGCGGCGAACTGCGGCCAGTGGGAGCTGTGATCGGCCGAACCTGCGGATGCGGCAGGTAAACAAACCGGCCCGGCCCGCCAGGGGCTTTCCCTGAACAAGCGGCGGCCCTAGTTTGAGAACCACTGCTCTAGAGCGAGTGCAGAGCCAATGGAGAGATCCTCTGAGCAGGGAGTAATTCCAGGGGCAACTGACAGCGCCCTAATGACTTACCACTGCGAGGGACTCACCTTTTCTGCCTTCCCGTAGCTGACCAGGGGTATGAGGGTCTCTGGCTCAGTGGACATGGCGCACTCATCAATGAGGATCTGCTTGACGTTCAGGTTGTCCACAAGGCTGTTGGCAGAGGCAGCGGAGCACGTGCACAGGATGACATTGTGGAGTTGCAGCTCATGCACACGGGCATCTGACAACAGGTTTTTGTACCTGTAGGTTAAGGTGAAGGATGTCAGACTCTGCACTAGTGGCAGCACTTGTGAAACTTTCACCTCGGCTCAGTTCCTACTCCAGAAATGGGATACACCTTCCCAAAGGGTTATACCCCACCCCACCCCAGCATGGACCACTCCATAAAGGGTTTCTGACAGGCCCCATTGGAGACACCCTGCAGTCTGAAATCCGTGGAACCTATAGCTTCAGGGAACAAACATAGTCCAAAATTCTTCTACATCCCTAGTCCTGGTAGCTTCATTTTTCAGTCCAACAGCCCAGCGTCTCATGAACCACACAAGAGGAGCCCTCTTAGCAGAAATAACTCTAGAAGCACTCACAGCTTGCAGGGTTACCCTGAGGAAGTATCCCTTTATGCTCAGTTCACAACAGAAACTGCTTCATCTGATGCATATTCTCTCGGAGGATTCAGAGAGTGACGGTCTACACAGCATATTCTGTGCTACAGTTTCAACGGGATTTGGTTGTATTTCTCCCCCCCCCCCAAAAGCAACCTCAGGAACATGATGTGGTTTGTTCTTTAGTTTCCATTTCCCATCTCGGCAACAGCTCAGAGGGCCAGATTCTCAGCTGGTGTAAATCAGCAACACTCCATTGACTTCCATGCAGCTATGCTGACTTACACCCGCTGACGTTCTGGCCCAGCAACTGCCTCCTAAACCTCTCCCTGATGGGGATTTGAGTGACTGCACTGTGGTGCATACAGGTACTGGCTATTTCACACCAATACAGCTCCGCGACAGCCAGACCTCTCACGTGGGTCTCTTCACTCACTTCTTAACCTCCTCTTCTGAGATCTGCTCTCCTCTTTTCACTTTTGCATCAAAGTCACGGATTTTTCGCCAGAAAGGATTGGACGGCTGCCGGATTCGGTGATGCAAAATTATTTCACTGAAATTTAAAAAAAAAAGGGGGATTTTTCAATATAAACATTATACACCCCCACATCCAGGCACATTGGGAGATGTCCCACTACAATGGGGTGTACCAGCTTGGTTATACGCCAGCAGCATCTCTAAGGAAATACGTCCCAGCTTTTACATTTTCTCAGGCCCTGTGCTTATTTCTCCCTAGATGGGCCAAAAGATTTTCTTCTTTCTATTCCAGTTAGTAAACTGAATGAATTGATAACAAATGTCAACATTTGTCAGAGAGCTCAGTAACCTATTTCTGAAGTTATCCAGAAAAGAAGACGGCTTCATTCTAAATACACGTCCCAGCTATGTCCAAGCATCTGCCACGGCTGGTGGGCAGCTGGAGGGACACACAAAAGGGGCCAATCGACAGAAAACCCTCCACTGAACATACTCCGAGAGGGAAAACGTAGGGGACTTAACAGAGAAGACACACAGAGAGTGGCTGGCATAGGCAGAGATGGTGGAGCCTTGTTCATGATCTAAGTGGCATCTGATGGTGCTGGAAGGATTCAGATTCTAGTCCAGAGACCCTCCTGCCCACAGTTCCCACTCCCAACCTGCAATCCCCCGTGTACGGCAATATGATGTATTTGCCCTCTCCTGAGCAGACTATAGGATAGCTTCCTGAGCTCCAGGGTGGGCTGAACTCAGGATACACTCTCGCTTTAATCTGCTTGGGGTTGCGTTGTCCTACCTGAGCTCCGGCTTAGGTTTTGCATCCCGCAGGGCTTTCCGGGAGAAGTGCCGGCTGCTCCCGGGGTAGGGGAATTCCATCGACTCCAGCGCCTCGCCATAAACCCTCAGAGGCTTCAGGTTCCCCTTCATCTTCAACAGCATCTCTGGGGAGGGAGTGGAATAGACTCCACTGAGTGACACCAGGACTCCTGCTCTTCTAAGATGCCCCCCGGCAACAAGCCCTTTTAGCTTCAGGGTCCCACTATACAGCCTTGCACTCAAAAGGCACAGATCTCCAAGCTCCTTTGAGAGCAGGACAGTGAGGGGTCTTTTATAGAACAAAGGGATGCTGGAGCAATCCCAGACTTCAATGCAAGCTGCACCAGGCACCCTGAGCATAGGGACTATCTGCTATTTAAGAACATGCATTATCTCGCTTTGCCAGATGTACTAGTCCCACCCCCTCTGCAACTTCTGATCTGCCACTGCCTTGTTTGCATCTAAAAACTTCAGCCTAAGACGTACGCTAGGATTTCTCCCCCTCTTCACTCCCAGTTCCCCCCAAAAAGGGGTAAATAAAAAGCCTGTATCATGTGACCCCCAGCAGTCAGGATGCCAAGTTACCTGCAACAACGTCGACAGACTTGTTGGATGGGCCACAGTACAAGATGCATTTTCTTGCTTTTTCCGCATTGTCCAGAGATGGTTCCTTCTCCAGCCTCTCCTCATTCAGCTTGTTGAACCAGTAGACAATATGGACGCCAACCACAGTCTTCCCCGTGCCTGGGTGAAACAAGGTCTGCTGAGAACGTTCCGACACCCCGTCGTTGGCGAGTGGAGCAGAGGGACTTCCAGGCTGGCGTGTTTGAGAATTTAGAACTGAATGGATTTTCACAGCCCTGAGTGCCATTGCACCACCCTACCTCTGTCTCGCTTGCGTGTGGTCCCACAAAGAACACGTCACCTCAAGGCCTTGGCACGAATGTCACGAGCAGAGGACTCTGGGGGAATGGCAGGCCAGGCCTCAAGCGGCTTCCATAAAAAGTCCTATCACCCATACAAACGCATGCAGGTACCCCCTCTTGTCTCACCTGGTGGTCCCTGGATGAGAGTGAAGGGTTTTCTCAGAGCATCTAGGATTGCCTTGTTTTGACTTTGGTTGAGCTTTCTCAGGCCCCCAGGGATATCAAAGGTTTTTTGTGTCTGGAGTTTGGATTTTTTCTCTGCTATATTTAAAAAAATAAAGACAAGAACACACAACAACTTTAAACTGAGATTACAGAGGGCACCAAACAAGCTGCACACGTTGCAGTGTCACTGAGCACGGCATGGTCCAAGCCAAGGACTCCCAAATTTAATCCTACTTTGACACCAACTCCCTCTGCCACCGAATCACTTGTAAAGATCCAGAGGGTTAAATTTTAGCTGCTCTAATATGGCGGCTAGGTCCTGTGACTCCATTCCCTTTTGGAAAGGGGAACCCCTAGCCAGGGAACAGAGAAGAGGCAGATGCTGAGAACAGCAGATCTCTATCTGGGAGCACACTTGCTTCTCTATCATAAGGGCCCGGGCTGACAGCTGGGACTCCCAGGGACGTACCTACGTAGAAGCAGGTAGCCACAATACAAGGGAGCTGACGCAGCCCTGTCACGAACGACCTGCTTATTGGCTACCCATTAACAAAGGTAACCTCTGTCGAACCTAGAACCAGGACTGTGCATATATCCGGGACCTGTCAGATCTCAACACTCACATCAGCTAAGAGACCCATGCAGGAACTGAGGGAGATTTTTTACTTTTTCTGCCTCGGTTTCCCCATTCACAGCGTACGGATAACTCTTATTCAGCTGCCTCACAGGGGCATTAGTTAATGGCTCCCAAGGGCTCCAACAAGAGTGGTATAAGTACAATGGAAGTGGCAGTGTGGCCTAGTGGATAGGATACTGGACTGGAACTCAGAAGACCTAGGTTCAGTTCCTGGCTCTGCCATTGGCCTGTTGGGTGACCATAGGAAAGTCACTTCCCTGCCCTGTGCCTCAGTTTCTCCATGGGAAGAATGATACATAGTTCTCAAAGCATGAGAAGTCAAGTAGGAGCCAGATCGTTTTATTATCATCACCAAGTATGGTCTTAACCGTTGCCCATTTCCTTGGGAACTGAGCAAGAGAAGCCTGTGCACCCGATGAACGTTTGCACCTACCTGTCTGGGGAGGCTCCCGGCCCAGCGCTATGCTCTTGGCGAGCTTTGAGGCATATTGCAGTTTCCAGATTGCATTCTCTTTCCGGCTGATAGAAGGGAAAACAGAGAGTTACTGAAACATAGCCCCACCTGGTGAAAAACGTGACACGCAGCTTTGTGGAACTGCCTTTCGTTAGCCTCCCACTTTGCTTTGTTTGTTCAACAAAGGCTCGAAGCAGAGCGCTAAAAGCAAGTTGTGAAGAAGTCATGTTGGATTAGTGTTAGTGTTACTTTGCACCGCTGACCCATTTCCCGCCTGCATGAAGAACTGAGCCAGGCAGGATTTGGGGGGCAGAGGATTGTATTTCACAGAGCAGCAGGGAGCACAGATCACATCCCAGCTGTTTTTATAAGTGAAACAGGGCGATTAGCCCCCAACTGTTCCTGAACCTCAAGGCACCAAGGGAGAGGTCACTCCAGAACTACATGTAGTTGTAGCTGGGTCGATCCCAGGATATTAGCAAGATGAGGTGGGTGAGGCGGTATCTTATTGGACCAACTGTTGGCGAGAGGGACAAGCTTTTGAGCCACCCAGAGCTCCTCTTCTTCTGCTAGAGTTACCTCGAGGGAGATTGGCCGCCCAGCCCGTTAATGAGGCCGATTCGAAAGGCAGGCCATGGATCTGCCCGAAGAGTGGCTGTCTCAACAAGGCACAGTTGCAAAGGAACCAGCATAAAGGAGAAGAAGAAATCGGGGGGCACGGGGCTACTAAAGAAACCATGAACAGCCTTTCAAGCTTAGCGGTTTGTGAAAGATGCTGTAGCAAGAGTGAGGTGAATTGCTACAGTAACAGAAGTCGGAGCTGTCATCCAAGGACTGCCTCTTTTCCTAGCCCCTCAATCCTTTGCTCTTTAAGACAGCTAGGACTGCAGGGAGCGGGGTGTTTCGGGAATGGCTGAAAAAGTGACAACCCAAAACACAAAGCGCCCAAGGGCCTGGCTGATTTGTGTAGGGACATGAGGCTTTTCAGTGGATCAGGTACACTCCTCAGAAGGGCTCCATTCTGTTTGGGAAGGCGGCATGGGGAAAGCTAGCCCCGTATCGGCTTTGGTTTGGAAATGACTGAAATCACCAGCTATGCATTGACTATCGCACCCATACTTACACATCTGGAAGCATCTTTGGAATGATCTCCACCGTAAACCTGGCGGAGTCCTGGGAGATCTCCGCAGGAACCGTCTCCATGGACATAAAATGGATGTAAAAATTCACAGCCTTCAGTCCACTTCTGTCCAGCTTCTCATTGTCACTACACTCTTCGGGCAGCCCATGGGCTACCCAAGTGTATGTAGCTGGATCAACCACGAAGCTGCCACCTGCCGTGCTCTCGTTGGACAAGCTGAGTTTCTGGAGGCTGTGGCTAAGACACGCCTCGTCATTACGGCGTCCACTGAGCGTCAGGCCCTCTAGCCGGATGCACAAGTAACAGTGGTTGAAGTCTACATCAATGGCGCACTCCTCTAGGAAGCTTTTGGTTAAGGAGAAAGTCCCCTGCAGCTGCTCTTTGCTGTTTCTTTGCTTGTCCCAGGTTATTTTGACATCCTGCAGGACAATGGAGTCGTTTTCTGCCACAGCACACGAAGCAGATTCCATAGCACTGAGCGGCTGCCACACCCTGCTATAGTCCGATGGATTCTTGTACTTGTCCTTGGACGCCTGCGTGGCGTAATTCGAGAAGCAGTTGATGGGCTTTTCCGTGTGCTCCAGACAGACGTCAAAACCCGGCGTCACGCTCCACAGCTGCACAAAAGGCACCAGAAATCCCCGATGAACCCCGGTGGTGAGCTGCAGCTGTACGGCATCCCCGGCGCTCAGTTCTAGAGACAGCCCCACGTAGTGCGAGCAGTCGCTTCTCTCCATTCTCCCCACCTGCCTCTGGCGCGTCGCCCGGCCCTGCCTGAGGAGAGCAATCACGCTCTCGAACTCTTCCTTTCTGATGGCCGCCAGCACGTCTTCCCACACCTGAGCGCTGAAGAGGGTGATGTGGCGGTCCCGAAGCGGCGAGGACCGTGGGGTGTGCTCCTTGGAGCTCGCCACGGAGTACATTCGCCGCCTCCACGTCAGCCTCATGCTGTTCCGCTCTTGGCTAAACGAGGGCTGTTCCACTAACTGCAGAGCCCGGTAGTTGATCACTTGGGGATCCGGAAGGGTCTCATTGTTCAGCGGGAACAAGGCTTTAAAGAACCTATCCATTCCCTCAACACTCACAACGAACGCGATCTTCTGCCGGACTTGGCACCTCAGCCGGGTGGCCATCTGCAGGGAGTGGGCCCTCTTCTCGTAGGTGGCCGCCCGTAAGTTCTTCCTGTTGAAGTCACGGCAGAGAAATTCGATGTCCTCCAAGGAGTACAGCACTGGCTTCTTGCAGAGCACGGAACGAAGGTGCCGCTGGACCACGACGTCCAGGTATCGGCGGATGGGGGAGGAGGCCCAGGTGTAAGAGTCGACGTGCAAGGAATAATGTCCTGCCTTAGACTGAGCGGTCGAGTTGGAGCGACTGAAATAGGAGCGGCTCAGCAGCCTCCTGAACTCCAGGACGATGGGGGCGAGCTTCGGGTGAATGTCATCGGTAGCAATGAGGTCGAGCACCTTGTGGACATCACGAGCGTCCACAGCTGACTGGAGGTGCTCCCACAGTGGGGTCAGGAGGCTGAACTCACCCCGCCCAGCAGGGGCTGGGCCAGCAGGCAGAGCTCCCAGGTGGTGCGAGAGGTGGATAGACAAAGGGATGATGTGGCTGTATTTGTTCTTCATCTGAGCCACCTGCTGGGGGTTGGGCTCCATTTGACACCGGAGAGGAGTGACGTTCTTGGTGTGGTCTTTGTTGGTTAGAAACTCGGCCACGAAGCTGTTGAACATGATCATGAACTCCTCGATCATCTGGTGGGATCCCCTGTTGCCTGGGGTACTTTCCTCATCCAGCCGGTCGTAGTAACAGTCTTCCTGCAGCCTGAACTGTCGGTGGACCCTGGAGAAGTGATAAGCCACAGCTATACAGTCCTCAAGGGTGTCAAAGCGAAGGGCCTTCGCTTCCCCACTGTAATGGTTCTTAATGATGCTCTCTGCCTCCTCGTAGGACAGCTGCCGGTCCGAGTGGATTGTGGACACAGTGAAGTTCCCTTTCATCACCCTGTCTGTTGTCTTTTCTACAGTGACAAACAGGGAGATCACGTGGCGATCCTTTTGTGGCAGGAGGCTGCAGAGGTCTTGGCTGATCCGGGGTGGGAACATGCACAGCGGCTCCTTACAAGGGGCATAGTAAGTCGTGCCTCGTTTCTTCGCCTCCATATCCAAAGCACTGTCTTTGGGAACAAAGCCAGCCACGTCTGCGATGTGGATACCAATCTCATAACAATTGCCCTCATCTCGGACACTTATGGCATCATCCAAATCTTTAGAGCCTGGGGGGTCGACAGTGAAGGTCAGGTAGCTCCGGCAGTCCCTCCGATTCTCCTTGGGAGGGTTGGATTTGCTGGAGGTAATTTTGGCCAGCTCCGTGGTCACCTCGCTTGGGTACTTTTTTGCCAGACCGTACTCCAAATCAAGTATCTTCAAGCCTTCTTCCAGAGTCAAAGCCATGGGCAGGATGTCTGTTACTATGCCCAGAGGGTAGTAAAAACCTTCCCGCCAGGAGATAATTTGGACATAGAAGAGCTGACTTCTTTTCATCTCCTGGTTTATCTTCTCACACCTGACCACCTGGTACTTCCCCTTTACCAGTTTGCGGATGGGGACGACATTGGGTTTTTCTTTCAGCCCTGGGACGAATATTTTGGTGATGGTGTGGTCGATGGGGATCATCACGCGGGGGTCATACTCGTCCATCATGCAGACGAAGGCCCGCTGTCGCTCGGCCTGCGTCAGCACCCCCACCACTCTCCCCTGGGGACGGAGGGTGCCACCCTCAGGGGCGCTGGTCTGCAGGAGCTCCACTAGCACTTGGTCACCAGTGAAAGCCATGCCACAGCGAACTCTGCCTTTGATCTGAATGTTGAGCGGAGGTGAGTCTTCGAAGGCGAAGGCAGATGCTCTGTCAAACCCCTCTTTGACCAGCTCACACCTCTTGTACATTTTGGGGTGCATGCGAAGATACTCCTGCATTGTGGGAGAGGAGAAGTTGACATATTCCAGCCGACCGTTCTGCTGGGCCGACGCCTCGGAGCTCACGTTCAGCAACCCTTCTTCGGAAACAGTCACCTGGACGTTCTTGCTCTCATCCAGGAGCTCCTGGAGAATGGGATCATCGGGATTTGTGTTATCCAATTCGGAGGTCCAGGAATCCGTGTCGCTGTCGTCCTCCTCAAGCAGCTCCGTGCTTCCCCGGATCCAGCTCTGCTTGTCGGACACTGCCTGCTTAATCTGCTCCAGCGTCAGCGTTTCCGGAGTCACGCTGCCTTTCTCAATGCACTCCTGGAGGAAGCGCTTCCAGACCTTGCTGCACTGGCCATAGGAGCACAAGGCCACAGCATCTCCCACCACGATGACCTGCGACTGGGCCCTCGTCATGATGGTGTTCAGCACCCTCGCTTCGTTGAAGAACTCCATGTTGGGGGAAGCGGAGCTGAGCAGGCTTTCCTTGGTGTGAACTGTGCTGATGATGATGACCCGAAACTCCCTCCCTGCATGGAACAAGAGGAGAGAGAGGAAAAAGGTTACCTACGGGAACTGAGTGAGAAGGACTCTCTGGGTGGAGCATGCGTCTTTGGGAGGTGTCCGTGCCTACACAGCGCTGCCTGTGGACCCCCAGGGGTGACAGGCTAAAAACACCCACATGTGATCATGTCCCTAAGTTATAAGAGTGACTTGAGATTTAGCCCAATGAAACAGAGTCCTTGGTATCACAGGGGCCTCACACACAGACCAACCCCCAGGCACCACATGAGGAGTCCGAGATAAAGCAAGAGGCAGAGCAAGGTGACTAATACAAGAGCAGTGTTCGTGGATTAACATTCGGATTTCAAGCCACTCTTCGATTTGACAGTGTTCTGCCCCTTGTTATCCGCTCCTCGTGAACACACGTGGGAATGGGGTTTGTTCACAGGGACATTTGGGAACGGGCTTTTCTTTCCAAAAACCCCAATGGGAACCAGAGGTTTCGTGCAGGAAGGGAAGTATTCACCTGTTTAAAAAAAAAAGTTTTGATCATCCAGTCTGAGAGTAGAAACAATGCCATCTGGCTCCGGTAACCATGAACACTAGGGATAACAAACAGCCAGTCAATGAGTTCATAAACCAGCCAGAGGCTGAAAATGGTTTGTCAAGAAGGAGGGATGTGGAGATGGAAAACACACACCAGGCATTCATTAATTCCACCACAAGAGGTCTCCGCTGCGCCATAAAACCAAAAAACCAATAAAGAACTAGATCAATCTTCTCTGGCTTGAGAGTTAAAAAAACAAACCAAAACCCTCTTCCTTCAGTTCCCATGGCAGAGTCACATTTCAGCAAGCAGCCTCACTGGGAAGTCATGTGTCAGTTATACTGTGTCAGTACCCAGAGGCCTTTTCACATGGATGCCCTGTTGGTTACAATGTATCGCCTTCCTTTACATCATTACCAGACTCTCCCTTGGAATCCTGGGAATTTTGAATATAGACATGAATCACACCACGATACCCAGTCTCCGGGGCTCTGGCATGTACGGGCATCTCTGCTTGTATGGCTGCAGGCCGGGATTATAAAAGGGATCAGTGCCTATGTCCAGGTTTTTCATGCATCTCAGGAAATAAAGAGATACCCAACTAATTTCATGGGCTGAGACTAGGATACAGACGTACTTCAGGAGCCCGGTTTTCAGTTTAAAACCCTATTCACGTGTAAAAAATGACCGGGAACCATTTTAAACTAGCCAGATCAGTTCTGGGCCCCTAACTCCTGTAGCCACCACTGCATGCCGCCGATGCCTGGGCATGACAAGGTAGTGATGGGGAGGTGGGTAATGTGGGGGACAGGAAGAGATCTCCAGCACTGCTGGCAAGGACTGAAAAGAAAGGCAGAGCTTTCTAGACCAGCAGCAACATGGAAAGGGGCTAAAAGCGACTCACTGATTTCTTGCGGGGGGTGAGGGGGGAGGGGAAGAAAGTGTGCAAGCGCTTATCGTATCCTGTATAAAAATTTTAAAGTGACGAGTGATTCTGGGTACCCAATTTAGGTACCTTAAAGGGGTCCAGTTCTCAGAGTATGGTGCTCAGCAGGGTCCCTTCAAAAGGTATCTGAGGCGGGGCACCCAACATCACACACACACACACACACACACACACACACACACACGGCTCAGCCAGCAGTTGTATGGTGGGCACAGGATAAGAACCTAGACGGAACAGAATGGCACCGTATGCCCGTGCGGCTGCCCCATATCCATATGGACACATCTGCTGCAGCTGCTCTCCCCTCTGCGGTTTACAGAGGAGTATACTGAAGGTGACAGAGGCGCCTCTGCTAGTCGTCCAGCATTCAGTCCAGGTTGCCCCTTTACCCGTCTGCAGCGCCCAGCAGCGTGGGAATATTCTCCCAGCTTTTCACTGGTGTGACCACGCGAGTTCTCGCTAGCCTAGAGGGAGAGCCCGGAGTAGAATGGCTCCTTTTTCCTGTCACTGAGAATGGATTCCATTCCTGCCAAAGCAAAAACAGCCACTCAGCAAGATACAAACCTGGTAAGTTTTCAAAGTTTTCCACTGCCACCTCTCCCAGGTGCTTCTTCCTCAGCTCCTGCCTTATTGCATTGACCTGGTGGGAAAGGGAGGCACAAAGTTACAACCCAGGGAGCAGCTCCCCAGCTCCCCCCAACCTGCACCCAGTCCCTGATCTCCAGAGAGCAGGTATCACACGGCCACTAGGTGAGAAGAAGATTTGATGGGCTCAGGCTC